TTGTATTAAGGTTGAAGAAATTTTGCAAATAGAAAGTATAATTAACTCACAAACTGTCAGAATACATTTGTATTTATTAATTTTAAAACTACTTATTAGTTTTTTTAATTTTTGTTCATTATGGCATGTCACATATGGTCAATAATCAGTATGTAGCTTATTTGTGGCAGGACTCTGAAAATTCTTTACTTGTCGGAACCTGTAATATCTGGAACAATTGTGCTTATGCTGTCTTAATTTTTAACCATGCCTGGTAGATTCGATAATTGCATAACGCCAGGTTGTGCAAATTGGGCAAGGATACAAATGAATATGGAGTCTGCAAGTATGAAGTTTTTCTTCATAAACCTGATTATTAAAGCCAAACGAATTGCTGAATTATCAGGCTATAAGCTTGATGACGCTATTAAAGCAGCCAAAGTAGACAAATCAAGAATACTAGACAGCAAAAGAAGTACTACAATCTTAAAAATGAACTCGAAATCTTCCAGGCTACAAGTAAATCAGAAAAGGCATTCTCGGTAGTGGGACTTTTCATTACTAAAAATAAGAATCAGATTGACTGATCGGAGTATTGACCATCTTTGCTTTTTAAAATCTTATTATAAAAATTTACAATAATATTTTGTATTATGTTTTATTTAAAAAACAAAAATTACCTTTTAAGTTAGAAGTTTGATCTAAGTTTATTTTTTTTAAATTTTCAACTCATTCAAAGCATTTTGTTGTTGTTGTATGCAGTTTCCAGCAAACTTTAATAAATTTTTTCTATTTGTGAAAATTTCTACGTAATTCAAAGGTAATTTTTAATATATATCTTATACAGCATTATTAATATGATTTAGGAAGTTGCAGAACATATTAAATTACTTTAAAAAATGAAAAATAATTATATCATTTGATTTCGTGATATTTTGTATATCTTAAAAATAATTAATTTTGTCCCGGGATCTTGAGAAACAGTTCACTTTTATCCCAGAATCCCGGGACAAGCAAAAGACTGGGAAATGAGAAACCTAATGCTAATGAGAGGCAAACTAGTAATAGTGGTGCCTCTTCCTTTGAATTTAATTCATTTCAGAGACTGTTCAAATTCTGAATGAATTTTTCACATTAAGAATAATGGAAAGCAAATTAATCCATTCCCAGACCCTGAACAGTGACCTCTCACTTATACCCCTCTCATTTAAGAGACATTCTTAATTATGAGACATTTTCACTGGTCCTGGCTGAAGCCTATGGGAGATAATGGGTACATTTCTATATTAAAACAAGATCAGTTAACATCCTCACATCAAAACTAATTTAAAACTAGCAGTGACTAATATTCAACCAAATATTTTGTATATGTTCACATCAGTGACAGAAATCAAATTAAGTATACTTAGATTAATTTATAATCATATATGAACAAATAATTGTGATTTACCTGCATTTTTTCCTCTCATCAGCAACTCATGTCAGTTCAAAAATTTTAAATGTGGCTTTACACAGAAAAAGGTTGCCCTTCCATGTTCTGCAGAATCATAGACATACATTAAACTTGCCTAGAACATTGCTATATTTATATTTGTAATGGGCTTATAATATTTATGCCCTACCCACAAAATAACCATTTTTGTTTTTATTTCTATTTTTATTCTTATGGTTAATTTTTAAGTTATATCTTTCTTTGTAACATTGCACAATTAAACAACTCCAGGCTTCCTCCTACTGGAAGTTTTTGAATTTTAATTGTGTTCAAATATTTAAATGCAGTATAATCTCAGTTTAATGGATTGCTTGGGTTGCCAAAAATTATCCATTGTGATATAACAGATTCCCAAAACAGGAATTTGTTATATCAATGAATTTCTTGCACACCCATATCTTTTATTTAACCCCCTACATGTAACAAATGCATGTACTTGAAATTATTCGACTTGAGATCTCTATTCTTTATTCTATAGAAACACATATTACAATTTTGTTTTTATTCACTATGTATATACAACACAGCTGACAGAAACTGTATATAGACTACTATAATCACAAAAAAAGGCAAATTACATATGCTCATTAGTACTTCAACTGACTTCATAATTTGTTAAAAAATTCATCTATCTTGGTTTGTTTTGATGCCACTTTTCTGCACAATGAATACCACAACTGCTTGATATTAACAATGTCATGCACAGCCTGTTTGTTTATGCTGAAACTTGTCAGGAAGGACTTTACAACTTAGAAAGACTTGATGGCCTCGCTAAATTTTGGCACTACACTTGGACCAACATCAAAATTTTCACTAGGTGGCTTTTCCTCAATCATATCAGCCTACTGACTCTTCATTACAATTCTTCAATTGTACACATCCTAGACATAACAAGTGCATCATTGAACTCTACAAATTCCTGGAAACATCCAAATATTAACTAAATGTTGAAAAATGCAAAGTTTACAATAGATGGGGCCAGAAAAGAAATGCTGTACTTGTTGATGTTTGTCACAAATAGATGAAAATATTCAATTACTAAATATACTTATTTCTTTTGTTGGTTTTGAATGTGAGTGTGTTTTTATTACATATAAACATTTGTGAAAAAAATGAATAGTAATATATAGTTTATTCTCATCTTTTTATTGGTCTAGTTTAGTTTAAATGTTCTTTGTCACAAATATCAGCTTTATTAGGAAACATAATGACAAGAAACAGAAAATAGGAAAATAAAACAACTTTGTCAAAGTCATGTTATTAGGACCTCAAAGGGCCACAAGTTGCTGGTGACTGGCTTAAACTAATTGGTAATATATGTATAAATTATATACTGTCAGTGTCAGTTGCATATTTAACTTACTTTATTTATCTTCATTTTCACAAAATTAGTTGCAAAAAAACTATTTTAATAATATTACTTGTAACTACTGATTATAAATGATCATTATATTAAGCAAAGTCATTCAATTCACTAGCAACACAAGCAAAATGCTTAGTAACTAGAAGCATTCTGGACTTTGTGGAGTATGTCACCAAATTTGTTTTGAATAAATTGCACACTCCAACTTTTTATCAAAATTTTTGCAGATTATTCAAGTAAATATAGTAAATATGGTATTAGTTACCATGCTTACATAGTATAAAACCTTGCTCTAACCTAATACTCAAACTAGATAATCAATTACTATAATTATTACAACTTGTGACATTCATCAAAACATTCTCAAAAATAAAAATTATTTCTAAAACTATGATAATATATTCAAACTATTAGTATTGTAGCCATTAATTTCAGCGGCTGGAATATTTGTAATTCGTTGTATTTCATTACGGATTAAGCTCAAACTTATTAACTTATTTTTAAAAATACCGTTTAAAATGCTGTACAGTATTAATCTATAGAGGTAATTCAATCCATGTGCAGGATGTTGAAATGGAAAACTAGGAATTTTTCTCTAGGCTCAGAGGAAACTTAAAGGATCTATAATGGTTCTTAGCTGTATAATGTAATTTTTTTTTTTTTGACAAAAAATAAAATCTTTAAAATCTAACAAAGACACATTCTATATATTTCATTGAAATACATTCAAAACTTTTGTTAGTAAAAATAAAATCAGAAAAAAAAAGGGTAGATGGGCATGGGGAATAGAGCAGGTCTCTTTCATCATTTTTTGTTTCGAACAAGCTCTCGATGGCCCTGCCCACGTGCATGATATTAGATATTTTCACAAGATAAATATTTAATTTTTTTCATTTTGGCCAAAGTTTTGGTTTTGATTATAGTTCAACAATTTATATATGGTTAGTTGAAAAATTTATCAAGTACATTTTCACAAACAATACTTGTTGATTACAGTATAAAAATTATATTGAATTTTGTACAAATCATTGAAGACATATCATAACCTATTATCAATATTATTCTTATAATTCAAAAATTTATTATTTATACATTTGATTTTTAAAATATTAATCGTAATAAACCAACTACAGCATATGCTATTTTGGTTTCTCGATATCTTAAAAGATCTTAAAATAAACATTTTAAGTTTACCGAAAAAAATTATATTCATTAAATAAAATTATTAAAATATATAACTTGATTGAAATTAAACCTTAATGTTATAATGAATAATAAGAAAATTCATTTTAATATTTTCATTACATTATAACTTTTAATAATAATAATTTTATATGAATTAAAATTGAAATTTATATTTAACTTTTTAATTATTTTAAGAATAAAAATACATTTAACATATTTTTCCCATTAAAAAAATACGCAGTTAAATAACATTAAGATGTAAATGTCACTTAAGTTTTCCTAAAGATTTAACACTTCAATCATTTTAAATTGATCAATAAAATTTCATAACCAAATTCATTAAAAATCTATAAGTATCAACATTGGCAGTTAAATACACACACATATTAATAAATCCGATTGACTCGATCGTTTATATACAATTAAATTAATTAAATTTTGATGCCAATCGAATTAATATATAAAAGGAACAAAGACATGAGAACGATCCACTTCTTACTTATATAAACACATGTATTAGACTCACCATGTTTAAATTTCAACACCAGATTTTCGGATTCGTCGGCAATAAAAAGCGTGAGCGTGAACGGAAATTTTTTTATTAGTTCATTGCTTTCGTTTAGTAAAGAAACGTTCAAACCTTCGAAAGTCGCCGCCATCTTTGCTTCTTGTCAACAAGAAATCAGTGCGGGATAAGTATATAATTAACTTTACTATTTTTATTTAATTATTTAAATATTTTATAATTATTTTAAATATATTTTCTCTTTACAAACTTAATTTTTTCGAAAAAAAGGCGTGTAATGTTTTAATTTTAATAAAAAAAATATTTAACCAATGGAAAATTAATTATTAAAAAAATTCATTATTTAATATATTTTTAAAGGTACTGTGAATGTTATTTAATATCATACGAATTTAAATGTTATTGAATTAATTATTTGCTATTTAGTTTAAGTAATAATAATTATTTTCCAATAAGAAATTTTCTGGTTCTCTTTGTTTATTCGTCAACCAATCGGTTAGCGGCAATTTGAAATCGCTTTTCAAACATATTTGTTCGTTTTACATATCTAATCGAATTTTAAATATTGTGTTTTATTAATGGTAAGTTTAATAAGAATTATTAGTTTATATATCATTTTTTGATCGTAAATAAAATGATTAGGAAGAAAATCAGAATCTTCATGAATTGTATAAAGAGATAGATTGAGAGGATTTTAAGTGTTATCTTTTTAAATTTGAAAATCTTTACGTCACACTTGATGATAAACCCAAGTGTTAAACTGAAAGACTGAAGAATTTTTCGTTGTATTTAGAGACTGTGCCATACTTTCACGTATTAAATACACTGTTAACTCAATTTCAACTTAGGCAAACATTATAACATGAAAATTAAACAAACTATTTGACAGTAATGATCAGATAGAATATTGAAAATGAGGGTAGAAGTTAATTTTCAGTTCTTTGTAAATTTAAATATATATGCAGAAGTTATCTAAAAGTAATGGTGTTCTGCTGAAATAAGATTATTGAGAAAATATGAAATTGAATATATGAGGGAGAGGATATAAGATCTCCAAATATACAGAGTTATAATGGTTCAAAACAAGGACAAATGTATGCAATTGAGATTGGAAGACAGCTGTAGAGCATATCGATAGGAACCAAAACTCCAGTAAAAATTTGTGAGAAATTTAATGAAGAAATGAAAGGTCTTTTTATAATTTTTTTCCATTGGTTCACATCACTATTCCAATTTCACATTATTTAATTTTTGTTCTACTTTTGAACACTGCTGTTAACCTGATGACAATAGCTTAAAGCTATTGAAAATGTTTGTGTTTTTTCCCCCCCATTAAATTTCTCAAAATTTTTGCTAGAATTTTGGTTTTATTGGTGTTTCTGTATTACCCAGTTTTTGAGTTGATATATTATAGAATATTTGCAATTTGCAGTACTTTTCCTCTGTTAATTGCTCTATTGTTTAAAAACTTAAGATTCACAAAGTCTATTTTTTGTTTAATGAATAAATCATTAATTATTGAAGTTTATTAAAATTTATTCAGCTTGTTTACTCTTCTCATTGAAATAAAGTAAACATATGGGAAATATAAGTAATTTTATATTCTTCAATCAGAGATATATTTGAGGTTAATGGAAAAAAAGCAAATAATATCTAGAGAGTATATAGAAATAAAAATGCATTGTTAACTTTTTCGTCTTTGTTTTTTAGGAACATTATATTTCCTAAATTTTGTGCTGACATATGTTTATTTGTGAAAAGAAGAAAAAATTTATTTAAATAAAATGGAACCAATTTATTTAATTAACTGATAAATCTTTCCAATATATTTAACTAATTGTTATTTGTGAATTCCAATATGTGAGAAAAAATATATCTTATTTTATATATCTTATAAATAATATATCTTTTTGGTGATATGATTTTTAAAAATTCAAAATCATATCACCAAAAATGTTTAAATAAACAAAAGATTTTAAACAAATGTTTTAACTTGTTTTAATTTTATGACTAGAAAAATATACATGCCCACAACAAACATTTCCTTGTAGTCAACTGCCCCAGCCAGTGCATTTAACCTATCAACCAAAAATTATTTTGGGTTTATCTAGCTCTATATGAAATCAACACTATGTCTAGTGTATAATTGAAATAATAATTTCCAGTAATATTAAACTAATAATTAACATTTTTAAGGAGCACTGTGAACATGAAAAACTTCTAACAATACTTTCAATAAAGAAAAGCTTAGAGAAGCAGCACATTTAAATTCAATGAAAAAGTTAATCTATTTTCAACAAACAAAGAATGGATTTTATTATTATTTTTTTTAATTTTAGATTACACTAGTCTTAATATGCATTGTAACAAATACCGTTGAAGAGCAACAGGCAAACCTGTCCAAAATGCATACTGTTGTCATAATAAGCCTGTGTTGACTGACTTCTGTGTGATTACTCCAATTATGTCAATGGTGTTTGATAAGTCCTCCACATAGCTAAAAATTAGTTCTCATAGTATCATATTGTAACATAAGGACAAAAAGCAAATTCACGAAACACATTTAGTTAATGTTTTCAGTCTTGGGAAGGCAATTCAAATAAAAAAATTTTTGGTCAAAATTGGATTATTAGAGTCTTGAGTAATGTGGATTTGAAATTTTTGCTAATAGGTGCTAGGTGAGGTCAAACATATTGTACAGTACATGTTACATCTTGTCGGGTTTGTGCTTGATGATGATAGTGAGTTTTATTAAACAGAAATAATTTATAAATATTTATTTATTTTATTTAATATATGATTAGAAATCTCCAGACAGCAAATGATATCCACCCCCATTTAACAAAAACCCCAACATAGTGCAATTAAAACCTAAAAATAACAATAAATTCTATACATAATATAAATTATATGTTAATGCATAAAAGTAGTGCAATTTAAAATTACAATAAAAGTAAGTGAAGACATTAAACAATCAAAAATAATAAAATTTAAAAAAAAGTAAAATATTACACTTATAAAGATTAAATATATATTAATATATATAAAAGTCAAGCAATTATTTATTGTGACATCGTCACAATGCTGGCTGCAATTTTTAATTTATTTAATTTAAAATATATGCTTCATCTCAAATTAATAGTGGCATGTCCCTATACATCATACTTTTCCTTTAATATTGTTTACCTATAGTGTAGTGCAGTTCTAATTTTATTAGAAATGACTCCTGAGCTCAATAGGATTTATTTTATTATTTTTTTCTTTTTTACAAATTGTCATTTACTGTTTTCCAGCTACTTTATAATTGTCAAAACAAGACTGGGATTTCCAGGTTTTAATTAGTGTATATTTTATTTTTTACATTTTTTTAATGGTTTACTATCTATTATTTACTTTACTTTATATTACATGCAATAGTTCATGCACAAAATTTCAAATTTGGTTAAACACTTCAAGACACTTTTTATTTTAGATCTATTTGTGCTGTGTGTGTGTGAAAACATTTAGTGTAAAATGCTTCTTGTTTGGATAACTATGTTAAATTTTCTATTGGTTATTAATATGCCTCAAAACCAAACTTATCATAATGACCACAAATGACTTTAAGGTGATTGTTTTATCATTTCAATATTATTGACTCCAAAATGCATTTTGGACATATTCATTCATCCTTCTTCAGTTGGGTGTAATAATATAAAAAAAAGGATGTGGAATTTTAGTGGTTAAAAAATAATAAAAATGCTACTTTATTGTGTATAATTTTTACATACCTTTTTTAATTGTATTTAGTATTTTTTAGTAATATTTAAATATAGATTTTTACCTGGATAAATAATAAGGGGTGGGTAATCATAAGTCTCTTTAGACTTATGTATTTTCAAAATAGATACATTTTAATAATCTGAATTAATAATTATACTAAATTCTTTTTATTCAAAAAGGTCTTCAAAAATCTTTAGTTTTTTTATCACTACATATAATTATATTTAAATAACTATATTTTGAATTAATAACTTTTTATTACACATTTTTTAAACTTGGTATTTGAATAATTTATACTAAATTTAAATATTTATCTCACTTTAATTGTATACTTGTAATTCTATAAATTCATATTTGTTTTTATTTTATTATCTTCATTTTCATTTTGTAGAATGGGGGCGTTTTTTATTGTTTAATAAAGAATATAATACAAACCTATATGGAACAAATACCAAAAATTATCCAATTATCTTTCAAAATCATGATGGTTTAATATATTTCCATGTCAGTATACAGTGGGTGATCGGTTAACGAACATAATCCGTTCCAAGACTTTGTTCGTTAACCGATTATGAATTTACCATAGGTTTGTATGGGAATTTGATTAATTCGTTCTGGAGACATCCCAAAATAAAAAATATATACTTTCTTACTACGTTTATTTATATGTATACACAGATGTGCATTTTTATTAGTTATCGGTTAACGAACATAATCCGTTCCTAGACTTTGTTCGTTAACCGATTATGAATTTACCATAGGTTTGTATGGGAATTTGATTAATTCGTTCTGGAGACATCCCNGAAAATATAGTCACTTTTTATTAAGACATGCTTAATGATTATATAATTTTATATATTTAAATAGCAAGTTATTTACTCAAACAGATGAGTAAGATAAATTTTCAATATTTAAAAAGCAACTAATCTATGATCTACCTTGAAAACTGGAGGAGGTTTTTTTTTTATATAAAAGTATCTTGATTAGCATGCTATCAGTCTTACTTTCAGAATTAAAATATTACATTTCATTGCTGTACAATTTTAAAAAAATCTAAATTAAATGACACTATGAAAACTACAAATTTGTTTTGACAGAAAATGATATATATGTACAGTACGTATATATCATCAATGTAAATATTACATGACATTAAAAGCACAAGAAAAAATTGTTTTACTTTCCTATTACAAATATAGCAAATAATTAAACCAAAATTATTTAATTATTAGTATTTTAAATTTTAGTACTAGGTTTATATCACTTGTTGATTTTTATTGCAATAATTAATTTATAGTAAAAACTAAATATATCTATAGATTTAATAGGTTTTGAAGAACGTAAACCTATTAAATCTTTAGATATATTTTGTTTTTACTATAAATTAATTATTGCAGTATAAATCAATGTGAAAATCTATGTAATATGTTATTTTGTACTATTAATATAAAGTTTCTTGTATTGAATAATAATAATTAAATATAATTAAAATATCTGTTATTTAGCTCATGCAGGAGAATAAAAATGACCATGAGAATTTGAGCCCAAATAGTCAAGAATATAAACGTATTATGAATGAAAATTTAAATGGAGATATGTCAAATTTTAAAATACTCTCTTATCAAAAGAAAGCACAGATTCCAGAAGGTTTGTATATTAGAATTTCTTTATTAATTACATATAATTTAAAGTAATTTAAAATGCTTTTCAAAACTTTTTTAAAGGTTATAACAGTGATATGAAAGTAATTTATAGTGCCAGTAAAGTGTCAACTGTAAAGAAAGGAACCCGTTTTATACCACATATTCCAGAAAGAATATTAGATGCTCCAGAAATAGTAGATGATTATTGTAAGAACAAGATTTAAGGAATAATATTAATTATAAGTAACTATACATGAAAATTCTATATTTTGTTCGTTAACCGATCACCCACTGTATATGAAAGTGTAATGTTTATTAAAAAAATATTTGTAAGAATTATTTATTTATTTTCTAGCAAAAACTCTTCTCTTTAGTATAAGCTTGCCATTTCTATCATTAGCTTTCATGTCACTATTGTGGCATGAAAATTATAAAACTAAAAAATGTTGAAAGATGTTTCATTTATCTCTATTCTATAGTACTTAATTTCTTTAATTCTTTTAATTGCAAAATTTATAACTGAACACTAAATTGAAATTTTTAAGTTAAATAACTTGAAATGTTTAATTTAGAAATGTCTCATCTTAACTTGGAAAAAGAATTAATGTCATCTTTAAAAATGGATACTAAAGGACCCCTGCCTAAATGGCAAAGAAAAAAATTAGAAAATTCAACTTCAAGTGTTAATAATTCACTTAACCTATCAAGTAATTCTGTTGCTGCAGGAAGTAACAAAACTCCATCAAATTCTCCAGGTAATGTTAGACTTATATTGAAAATAATTTAATTTTCAAATCCCATTTTCATAAAATTAAAAAATATTTACTACTTTCAGCAAGATCTAAATCTCCTTCTAGAAATAAAACTCCCAATCAAGGTGATCGTTTTATTCCTAATCGTAGTGGAATGCAGTTTGAAATTAGTCATTATAAAGTAATGTTTAATTTATACTTTATTCTATTTGCATTATATTATTAATATTTAATAACATAATGGTAATTTTTAAATTTTAATATTTAACAAATGTCCAAACAAGAAAATACTTCTCTGTTTTATATTTATATTTCGGTCTTAAATTATCTTATTTTTTGGATTTACTTTCAGTGCTAGATCTTAATATTTGGGATAATTTGATAACTAGTACTATTTACAAAAATATAAGCAATTACTCTGTACTGAAATTATTTCATACATATTTATATAAATTAGAATTTTAAGATCAATTTCAGAATATTCTTCTAAATCTAGATTTTTAATCTGTTGTTTTACTGCATTGAATCTAGCTGAGTTATCTAAGTTGGTTTGAAGTGTAGCTTCTTTGATTGTTTGAAAAAGTATTCCAATGNCTGGAGGAGGTTTTTTTTTTATATAAAAGTATCTTGATTAGCATGCTATCAGTCTTACTTTCAGAATTAAAATATTACATTTCATTGCTGTACAATTTTAAAAAAATCTAAATTAAATGACACTATGAAAACTACAAATTTGTTTTGACAGAAAATGATATATATGTACAGTACGTATATATCATCAATGTAAATATTACATGACATTAAAAGCACAAGAAAAAATTGTTTTACTTTCCTATTACAAATATAGCAAATAATTAAACCAAAATTATTTAATTATTAGTATTTTAAATTTTAGTACTAGGTTTATATCACTTGTTGATTTTTATTGCAATAATTAATTTATAGTAAAAACTAAATATATCTATAGATTTAATAGGTTTTGAAGAACGTAAACCTATTAAATCTTTAGATATATTTTGTTTTTACTATAAATTAATTATTGCAGTATAAATCAATGTGAAAATCTATGTAATATGTTATTTTGTACTATTAATATAAAGTTTCTTGTATTGAATAATAATAATTAAATATAATTAAAATATCTGTTATTTAGCTCATGCAGGAGAATAAAAATGACCATGAGAATTTGAGCCCAAATAGTCAAGAATATAAACGTATTATGAATGAAAATTTAAATGGAGATATGTCAAATTTTAAAATACTCTCTTATCAAAAGAAAGCACAGATTCCAGAAGGTTTGTATATTAGAATTTCTTTATTAATTACATATAATTTAAAGTAATTTAAAATGCTTTTCAAAACTTTTTTAAAGGTTATAACAGTGATATGAAAGTAATTTATAGTGCCAGTAAAGTGTCAACTGTAAAGAAAGGAACCCGTTTTATACCACATATTCCAGAAAGAATATTAGATGCTCCAGAAATAGTAGATGATTATTGTAAGAACAAGATTTAAGGAATAATATTAATTATAAGTAACTATACATGAAAATTCTATATTAAATATTAATAAGCATGCCACAAATATCCCAGATTAGAACTAATTAATGATCTAGAAATCTAGACTAGAACTAGATATGTTATCTGTTAAAAAGACTAATTAATTAATTAATTAGAAAATTTAAATTAAACTTTGATATATCTGAAAAAGTGTGTGAAGTGGGATTTAAATTAATAATTTTTGCATAAAGTGTATTGCCAGTTATGCTAAAATGGAGATTTTTGGCATGATTATTTATATTCGATAATTAGTTGTTCAAAATGTAGATTACTATATTGGAAAATATATAGCTGTTCTGTGAATGTATTATTTTCTGATTTACATAAATTCATAATTATGTAAAATTTCCATGAGTTCCATTATCTCCTTGAATTGTAAATACAATCAAACCTTGGGTTACAAATGTCCCTGTTTATAAACAAAATTTTCAATGCCATATTTGCTCGGGTTGTCGTACGATAACTCAGTTTTTGAACAAGTTGCTCGGCAGAACCAGTTATGATGTTCAACTTCCTATACTGCCTATGTTAAAAAAAAGTCAATGGCCCGACAAATCAACAACATGACTACCAATTTAGTAGTAGCTCAGAGATTCACCTTGCATCATTAGACATCACAACATGAACCATTGATGACATCATTATTCAAATTAGATTTCAATGCATATACTGGTAGAATACTACTTCCGGTTTTTGGTATTTGTCACAATTCAATTTAAATTAAATTAATTAATAAAAACCATGTTAATTGACATTTATCTATATATATAAAAATGAATGTGTGTGTGTGTGTGTGTGTCTGTCCTTCATGCATTACCACACCGTTTATCCGATTTCTGTGAAACTTTGGGAAGTTGTTTAATATACTCCGGCGAAGGTTTGTGGCATAGTACGATTGCCATAAAACTTCGGAAAGTTTTTTAATACACTCCCGCGAAGGTTTTTGGCATAGTACATTTATCCTACGATAGATGGCGCGCGTTTACACGAGCATTCGAGCACAGTGTGTTCGATCGATTTCAAATTGTGAAGACCATTTCCCCCTTCAAAAAATATTTCTATATATGCATTTGTGAACTGTTATTTACGATATTCGTAATAATGTTTGTTTAATCACTTTATTTCAACTTTTTTTTGCTAATTACGTATTCGCTCGAACTTTGTTAAAACTTTAACTGTATACCGAACAACAACCGAAGTTGTAGAAGGAAATTCGCCTATTTTACCGATCTAGGGATCCCCTTTTCCAAATTTTAATATCATCTAATAATTTAAAAAGACAAATTACAATAAAACGGTTTATTATCCAACTATCAGAAATTTCACAACATGCCAAGGAAGAGAGGAAGGAGCAATTAAATAATTAAAATTATAAAGGATTTAAAAATATATATAAAAATGGGGAATATCGCACTTCTGACAATCGCAGCGAGTGTGTGGGCTAAATTTGGAGAATCCGTGCTTCTCGCATGGACAACTGTATGTGGCCAGCTCACGCGTCGAAAAACCTTCCGATTTATTCGTGTACGCACCAGACGGAAAAACAAAAAATATCGTGTATCCACAAACACTCCAATAAATAAATAGAATTGAAACGACACTTTGAAATGTTTTCCCGATGAAAATTAATAATAATAATAAGTTTCAATAAAAATAATAAAATGTAAATTGAATTTTATCATAACAAGTTTGCTTGAATTTCCTTTCTTCTGAGATCGCAGCAATGCGCGACGGGTAAGCTAGTGTAATATAAATGATATCCATAAATCCATGTTTAAAGGTGTGTAACTCAAATTAAATAACAAAAATTTATTAATTTAATATAATATTATATATTAATATTTAATTTAATATTTATTAATACTAGGTAGCCAGTTAGTTAAAACTAAAAATAATAATTAAGACTGATTTATACACTGGAACTAAAATAAAATCAAAATTAATTAATTAAAATCAAATCAATTGAAACATAATATTTTGGAGAGTTTGGATAAAGTGCTAACACTTTACAAAGAAGTGCTATAAATTTGGTTTCAGTTGGAAGTGACAGAACATTTTGCTTTTAATATATATATACACATACAGTAAGACCCCGCTTAATGCTGCCTCATTTAACGCTGATTAGATATAATGCCATCAGCTCAAAGCCTAAAAAAAAAAAAAGCTTAAAATTTACGCTGATTTAAATTATTGCGGCATTTTATTGATTAGTACATAATATGATTATTGATGAACAAGAACCGATCAGTGGCAAAAAGGTGTACTTTCTTTAAATCTATGTTTGGTGCAATTTTGGAAAAAAAAATATAACATCATGGATGCCATAGGCAATATCGACTTCACTTGGCAAGAATTAACTGATAAATGCACGAACAGAGTGTGGAAGAAGTTATGGCTGAAGGTATCCAAGAATTCTCAATGAGAAGAGCCTATCTAATCAATACAGCAGGACTAGGAGATGTAGATAATCAGGATATTGAGGAGTTACTGCAGGTTTCTGGCAAGATCCTTATCAATGACTACTTTCAAGAACTGGCAGAACAAGGAATTTGTGTAGAACTGGAAAATAGTGATTCTGAAAACAAAGAATCCAAAAAATTTCTCTAGATTTCCTTAGTAAAAGTTTGGTGACAATAACTGAAATTGTTGATCAAATTGTAACGAATGATCCAGATTTTGAAAGGAGTACAAAAGCAAAACGAGGCATTTTGGATGCAATCTTTTGCTACTGACATTTGCTTAAGGGGAAAAAAAAGTAACATGTGAAACTTCATGACTTTATTGCAAAAAAAAAAATTCAGAAAAGTCAGGACTTTCATCACAAAAAATGAACTTTGAACTTTACATTTTTGTTTGCATATGTGTATGTGTTATTTAACATATATATACAAATTAATATAAAAATAACTTAAAATTAAAGTAAAATTTGTTTATTTTTGGTCACATGTTCTCCTATCCCTATTTACTCTATGTTAAAATGACCTTATTTAACGCTGTTTTGTTTAGTGCTTTGTTGTTTAGGAATGCATCCCCANGCTAACACTTTACAAAGAAGTGCTATAAATTTGGTTTCAGTTGGAAGTGACAGAACATTTTGCTTTTAATATATATATACACATACAGTAAGACCCCGCTTAATGCTGCCTCATTTAACGCTGATTAGATATAATGCCATCAGCTCAAAGCCTAAAAAAAAAAAAAGCTTAAAATTTACGCTGATTTAAATTATTGCGGCATTTTATTGATTAGTACATAATATGATTATTGATGAACAAGAACCAATCAGTGGCAAAAAGGTGTACTTTCTTTAAATCTATGTTTGGTGCAATTTTGGAAAAAAAATATAACATCATGGATGCCATAGGCAATATCGACTTCACTTGGCAAGAATTAACTGATAAATGCACAAACAGAGTGTGGAAGAAGTTATGGCTGAAGGTATCCAAGAATTCTCAATGAGAAGAGCCTATCTAATCAATACAGCAGGACTAGGAGATGTAGATAATCAGGATATTGAGGAGTTACTGCAGGTTTCTGGCAAGATCCTTATCAATGACTACTTTCAAGAACTGGCAGAACAAGGAATTTGTGTAGAACTGGAAAATAGTGATTCTGAAAACAAAGAATCCAAAAAATTTCTCTAGATTTCCTTAGTAAAAGTTTGGTGACAATAACTGAAATTGTTGATCAAATTGTAACGAATGATCCAGATTTTGAAAGGAGTACAAAAGCAAAACGAGGCATTTTGGATGCAATCTTTTGCTACTGACATTTGCTTAAGGGAAAAAAAAAGTAACATGTGAAACTTCATGACTTTATTGCAAAAAAAAAAATTCAGAAAAGTCAGGACTTTCATCACAAAAAATGAGCTTTGAACTTTACATTTTTGTTTGCATATGTGTATGTGTTATTTAACATATATATACAAATTAATATAAAAATAACTTAAAATTAAAGTAAAATTTGTTTATTTTTGGTCACGTGTTCTCCTATCCCTATTTACTCTATGTTAAAATGACCTTATTTAACACTGTTTTGTTTAGTGCTTTGTTGTTTAGGAATGCATCCCCATGTTAAGCGGGGTGTTACTCTATATATATATATGTGTGTCTGTGTGTATAAATCATTGTAGTTGGAGGCATTTTTATGCATGAAATACAGCTAAAAAGGGGGGATTTGTTTTGTTATGAATGAATTAGGCTGAATTAAAAACTGAGGTTTGACTGTATTTGCATTAAATATAAATACTATATTGTTTGATTTAATACATAAACATAACTAACATAACAAGTTTTCAAAATTCTACTTTTGGGAAAATACATATAAAAATAATATATTAGCAAGGTTTCAAAAGAAAAATTCTGTGTATTTAAAAATGCTCCAAATTTATGTTTTATTTCTGGGATGTTGGCAGCTAAAAGGTGAAAGTATCAAATGTCTAAACACCAGTTTTTTTCTTCTAAGTGTAACCTATATTTGTAAATATAGGTTACACTTAAATCAAATTATTATTATTATAACATGGCAGCCAAACTGCTTACTAAAGAAAGGTAGTTCAGCTGTCATATATACTAATAATAATTACATTAATTTTAGAATTAAACTTAACGCTTCAGTATATTCTGGTGGGCAAAAAATTGACTTTGAACCTCCAACTTTTGTTTATCATACAAATGCATTGCCAATTATGCTATAAGGATCTTTGTCTTATCTTCATTTTCATACCTGCTAACTTGCAACCAATTGTGTAACCATACAATTTTGTCGTGCTGACTGGTAATATCTTTGCATTCATAAGCTTCTATGACTGTCAATCTAAGCTAACTTATAATTTAGTATTTTTAGGTTTACCTTATATATTTTGTATGAGATATGAGTACAAACTTTTCCTCAAAACAGTACATAACTAAACATTGAATAAAATTGCAAGTACATTCAAATATGGTCTGATGTACAAATGCAATATTTCATTCTGAAAGAAAAACTATTAATTTTTTTTAAGTACTCTTAATTATTTGTTTTTAATCAAATTATTTTAATATTTACTTGTTAGACATTAATGGATAAGTAATAAATCAATTTTGGTATATTCTTTAAAAAATAATAATGAGAAATTATTTATTGTGACAATGTCACAATGTTGGGCTGCAATTTTTAATCATATTTTTAACTAATTTAATTTAAAATATATGCTTTCTTCCTCAAATTAGTAGTGGCTTGCTCCTGTATATCATTAACAATAGAGTCATGCCAGTCATCTATTAACTGTTTTCAGGGAAAATTTTTGAATTGAAATAACATGATTGGTTTGCATCTGAAGTTTTTATATAGTTAATCGGGGCCTCCTGCCTCTAATCTTTCCATAATCTGGTCTTGCATTTCATCTATTTAACTCTATTCTCAAGATTAAGGAAAAACAGATGGATGGACAATAGTGGGAATTTATAAGTCTACACTTTTTCAAATTGCAGCCCAATAACAGTATAAATAAAAGGCATATCTTTTCTTCTAGTTTTTCATATTATAATTATTTACAGATTTAAATTTATTAGACTGGAGTGCAAATAATATTTTAGCAGTAGCCCTAGCTGGTCATGTCTATTTATGGAATGCTGGAACTGGTGAAATAGAACAACTTATGGAATTAGATGAAGCAACCGAAATTATATGTTCTGTTTCTTGGGTAAAGGAAGGAACTCACTTAGCAATTGGAACTAGTTTAGCTGAAGTTCAATTATGGGATGTTGAAAAATTAAAAAGGCTTAGGGTCATGAGAGGTCACACTGCAAGAATTGGATCACTATCATGGAATTCTTACATTTTATCAAGGTAAAGCATTGTTGTCAATTCATTTTTATTTCAAAATTATTAAATTAAAAAAAATTCTTTACAGTGGATCTAGAAGTGGATTTATACATCATCATGATGTTCGTATTGCTCAGCATCATGTTGGCACATTACATGGTCATAATCAAGAAGTATGTGGATTGGAATGGTCTCCTGATGGTCAATTTCTTGCAAGTGGAGGTAATGACAATGTGTTAAACATATGGTCTTCAGCCATTAACCATAACCATGATGAAAATCATCCATTTCATTCATTTTCACAACATCAAGCTGCTGTTAAGGTAAAAATTTAACATCATTTTTTTAAATATGTAATTATGTAAGAAAATGAAAATAGTCCTTTAATAAATATTCATTTAGTAATTGCATTTTGTAATTTATTTAGTAGTTTGGTTTATCTTGTATATTAAATCTACAGATGGATGGTAAATAACTAGGCATTGAGAAATTGCTGTAATTTTTGTAACAAGAATGCAATTTTAATATAATTGTGTGTGCATGTACTGTACATCAATCAAAGGAATTTTATAATTCTTGATTATTGATATGGGCAGTGACTGAGAGAGGCTGCATGCACAATGGCAAAAGAACTACTTGCTTGTCTGTTTAGGAGTGAGCAGATTGCTGCATGCTATGAGTTGTGGAAATCAGTGATTGCTCTGCAGAGATGGTGGCATATGATGAAGGGACATCATGCCACAATCTGTCGGAAACAACTATTGAATTTGAAGCTAAAACGACCACAAGTTTTGTTGCAGATGCACAGAAGTAGCCATCCAACCAAGTTTCAATCTGAGGAAAATGTCAGTGGATGGCATTGAATTTTAAGGTATGCATCCATATTTCCATTTATTAAGACATATATCAAATAATTTTCATCATCATTGTATTGGAAATATAGAAATCACAGTGATTTTGCAATACATAGTTATTTTCCATCTACTCTGTACAAGTCCAAAAATAGTTCCATAGCTGTAAGCATGATAATTTAGCATTGAAAAAGATATAAATGCATGTTTTTTGTTTGTGCTTTTTTGATTTAAAATATAATTATTGATGATATGTTATATGTGATAGTCAGCTGAAGATAAGAAATATTACATTGAATATGAGAAACACAAATATTCTTAAATTGAGTATGTAATGGATCTTTTATTGTTTCAAATGAGAACACAAACTGCATAAAAATTATTGAACTTATATTGTTTAACTAACATTTATTGTATAAGTGTTTTATAAATTTTAATATTTAACAAATGTCCAAACAAGAAAATACTTCTCTGTTTTATATTTATATTTCAGTCTTAAATTATCTTATTTTTTGGATTTACTTTCAGTGCTAGATCTTAATATTTGGGATAATTTGATAACTAGTACTATTTACAAAAATATAAGCAATTACTCTGTACTGAAATTATTTCATACATATATATATAAATTAGAATTTTAAGATCAATTTCAGAATATTCTTCTAAATCTAGATTTTTAATCTGTTGTTTTACTGCATTGAATCTAGCTGAGTTATCTAAGTTGGTTTGAAGTGTAGCTTCTTTGATTGTTTGAAAAAGTATTCCAATGATTTTATGTTATAAATTAGTACAATTAATGTTAAGAGGCAACTCCAGAGGTGTAAAAAGAATACTGAAACTGGGAGCAGTAAAATTTTTCAGTTTATGTTGACTGAAATGTGGCTGAAAACAGAGTTGAGAAAAGTTCAACTTTTCAGGACTGCATAGTTTTTCTTTACAGCAACCAATGAATAGATAACAAAATATTATGTCATCAATGAAATGACATGCAATTACATCAGTTTCAGTTCACAGTGGGAAATTTAAAATGACAGAAGGTAGGAGAAATCAGGACACCAATTTAGAGGCATTTGTAGAAGTAAGGAAGTATTATTGCTTATATAATAAATCAGATCCAAATTACAAGGATGTTAAAAAAACTGTCTAGTTGGCTGTGTCAGCAAAATTTTTTGGTAAAATGGTATGTGATAAATTATTTTTGATTTAATTGGTTTGAATAGTAATCTTATTATTTTATTTATTAAAATAATTATGATTATTATATTTATTAATACTATAGAGAGTGAAGTGGAAAAAATGGAAAGTACAGAGAGAAGAAAAAATTAAATTAAAATAGAATAGAAAATTAAGATATATGCATGAGAGAGAAGAAAAAATATGTGAAAATGTAGCCAGTGGTGGTAGTTAGTTAGAACAACAATTTTCAAAGATATTTTGTTATAAAAAAAAATTTCAAAACATTTTTATGATATGTATATTTATTCTCAAGAAACAAAACCAAATACAGTAGAACGTTGATTATCTGAATACTGATCAACTGAAACATCGGTTAACTGAAAGCATTCCAGTTGGAAAATTCAAATTTCCACTAGTGCTGTGGCACCTCAGCACTTTCCCTCTCCTACCAACTTGCCTACATGACCAAACTTGTCACTTGTGACAATTGTGCTGTAAGTACCATAGTTGTTGTACTGTTCGCAATGGCGGCTAAACAAAAACGCATTATTCTCAATGTTTCCGATAAACTTAAAATAATAGACCAGTTGAAGAGTGTTGCTAGTGGATCAAGCTTGGCTCAAGAATATGGAGCTGAAAATGCCACAATATTGGACATTATAAAGAACAGTGATGCTATTAAAAACTTGTGAGTATACTTGACAATGAAGATGGAAGCTTGCACAGAAAAACAATGGAAATGGCAGAAAAGCAGGATTTAGACATTGCAATTTACACATGGTTTATGAGGGTATGTAGCCAAGGGCAACCAATAAGTGGCCCTTTGATTTGTAAAAATGCTCTTGAAATGAACAAGAAACTAAGAGATAATGCTGATTTTAAAGTGACTACCGGCTGGCTTATGCATTTCAAATCTAGGCATGGAATCAGGGAATTGGACATCCAGAGTAAAAAACTGTTGGCTGATACTGAAGCAGCTGAACATTTGAGTGTCTTTTAAAAATATGATTGATAAGGAGGGCTACAAAAATCCAATGTCTACAATGCAGATGAAACTGAAACTGGTTTGTACTGGAAGAAAATGCCAACAAAAACCCTAGTTTTTAAGAATGAAATGTCAGCACTGGTTTTAAGGCAAGCAAATCACTGTTATGTTATGCAGAAATGTTACTGTAATGCACAAGCTACCTTTGCTAATCATAGGGAAGTCTAAAAATCTGTGGTGCTTTAAGGGAAAAAAAAAATTGCTGGTAACCTACAAGAATCAAAAGAATTCGTGGATGATACAAGCATTTTTAAAGAATGGTATTTATCCCTAAACAAGTCAAAAAACATCAGCTTACAACCAGGAATTCTGGAAATGTTTTGTGTTGATTGATAATGCCACAAGTCATCTCTCAAACATTTCACAGGAAAAAGAAAACAGAAAGTTTAAAGTTATTTTCTTTCCTCCCAAAGTTACTTCACTCCTCCGACCAATGGACCAGGGGATCATTGAAAGCTTCAAACGTGATTACAGAAATGCATTACTTCATATGGTAATGATTGAGGGAGAATATGAAAAAACAATTCAACAAGTGTACACTGAAATTAACCTAAAGTATGCTCTGGCAGCAGAAGCTTGGGCTACTGTCAAGGACACTACACTAGCAACAGCTTGGAATAAGTTCCTACCATCAGATGAGTCTATCATTGCACCTGACAAGCCACCAAACAGGCAATTTGTATCACAACTGTTTGGGCTGATTAATTAATTAAAGAATGTTCTGGATTTGAAGAATGTGGCAAGGAAAAACATTCAAGACTGTCTTGAATATGATGTTGATAACCCTGGCTATATAGTATTGTCAGATGATGAAATCATTGCCAGTGTCATCAACGACCAAGACCTTTGCGATGATGAGGAAGAGCCTAGCATCGATGACCATGCTGAAAAAGGACCATCCAGTGACAAAGCTTTTCATTGCCTTGAGACAGAAGTGGTTAATATATTTTTTGATTTTTTTCATAAATGATCAGTTATCCAAACAACCCAGTCTTGAATTGTTTCAGATAATCGATGCTCTACTGTATCTATATTTTTTATATCCCTGTTTTTTTACAGTCTTGACCTTGGCCTTCACTTCCATTAGCTATTGATGCACTGTTTTGTCTTCTAAATTTTTATTTTGCATAAAACAAGATGCTATCTTATAAAAAAAGACTTGAGAAAGTAGTCTTTGATATGGAAGGACAAGAAAAATATTTATAATGATCAAGACTAATAAATATGTATAAAAATGTTATTAAAGTATTTTTGCAATATTTTAAATAAATTTTTTAAAATATTTAGTTAAAACTCTGGAGTCATTCTCATACATTTAGAATAAAATTGTTGATCATGCAAATTTATTTTGTCAATTAAATATTTATTGCATTTTAATCTTGGGAAATTTTATGTATAGTACCCGAAAGTAAATTTTAGTTTTTCAGTCATTTTCAATGATACAATTAAATGTAATAAATAAAGATAAGTAATCACATCATGTTATCCATATTGGTTTTTAATTACTTTTTGGCCTGTTAGAGTGTGTCTTGATTTTGGTCCGTGGAATCCTAANGCGTGTGTGTTGGCGTCTAATTTGTTTAATTTCTTTATTTTCTGTTCTGAGATATTAAACAATATCTCAGAATGGGTAAAGTTTAAGAAACGAAATGTGGCACTGTAGCTTGCGTATAAAGGGGCATTAATACTATTAAATTTTGGTTCTTAATTAAAGGTCGACAGGGTGAAAACGTAAAAGTGGTCATGTGTCATATCTCTTAATGAATATTTTACTCGTTATTAGCGTATTTACTCGTTATTAAAAAAATAACATAAAATTCGTCTTTACCCTCAAAGTAAGCTTTTTTGCCATTTTATAATAGTACAGTAAAACCCGTTAAGATGTTCTCACCTAAGATGTTAGAATGTATATGGGGACACGAGTTAATTCAACCACTTTGACGCTTAATAACTAAATCCTGTGTTAAACCACCTGACTCCGATTCTGACCACTCTGACCACAAATTATTAGGCTTCAAACAGGGTGAACGAAATCATGCCCCCACACACAGTCTAACATCCACACATATAGAAAAAAATCTCGAATCTTTTGCATATCTCGAAATTTCAAGGTGTCCTGATTAGAAAAATGTAAAAATTTGTGAGGGATAATTTTTTGACCGAGCGCTACACTTTTCCTCTGTTATATGTAACAGCCGGAAAAGTAAAAATTATCGAATACATATTTATATATTACTTAGAGAAGCCTTTTAGCTTTGGAATAAAAAGTTTCTACGCTCTATCTTTATTACAACTGTATTTATTGAATATTTTATTCTGAGGTCACGTGACGGCATCAGAATTTCCGGGTCTCTTTCGGTAACAAGTCCGCCCCTAGTCGGAGTCGGATGGTAAGGAAAAGTCGGAGTTGAAGTCGGTATATTTTTACGTGACTCCACAACCCTGGTTTAAAGTATTTGGCCGTATTAGTTAACCGTCAATTGTGATCACATGACATTAAAATAAACCACCTATTCTGCAACTAGTAAATACAATAGTGATATCATGAAAGTTTCTATTTTTTGGTTATTTACAAGGGGAGAGCGCAGACGCAGTCCCCAGCTATCACAAATTACACGCCCAATCTGCCTCAGTTTGGGGTAGTGGCAGAGGTCAACAAAACCCAGGTGCAATGGAAAAACCTGAAAATATACAGTATTTCATTAGGAAATCACTAGTTACTTTTACTTTTTATACTTTACTTCATTTTATTTTTATTCAAATTTGACGTTAATTAAATATAATCCATAATTTTATTTGTGACTTTTATAATCAAGAGTATATTAGAGTATGTACAGTACAATAAACGCTGTTGTATTTAATCATTTTTCTTACTGCACATCCGCAATTAACAGTAATCTTAAACTTGCAATAAACATTCTCATTCGTTAAACTGTGATNAAATTTCAAAACATTTTTATGATATGTATATTTATTCTCGAGAAACAAAACCAAATACAGTAGAGCGTTGATTATCTGAATACTGATCAACTGAAACATCGGTTAACTGAAAGCATTCCAGTTGGAAAATTCAAATTTCCACTAGTGCTGTGGCACCTCAGCACTTTCCCTCTCCTACCAACTTGCCTACATGACCAAACTTGTCACTTGTGACAATTGTGCTGTAAGTACCATAGTTGTTGTACTGTTCGCAATGGCGGCTAAACAAAAACGCATTATTCTCAATGTTTCCGATAAACTTAAAATAATAGACCAGTTGAAGAGTGTTGCTAGTGGATCAAGCTTGGCTCAAGAATATGGAGCTGAAAATGCCACAATATTGGACATTATAAAGAACAGTGATGCTATTAAAAACTTGTGAGTATACTTGACAATGAAGATGGAAGCTTGCACATAAAAACAATGGAAATGGCAGAAAAGCAGGATTTAGACATTGCAATTTACACATGGTTTATGAAGGTATGTAGCCAAGGGCAACCAATAAGTGGCCCTTTGATTTGTAAAAATGCTCTTGAAATGAACAAGAAACTAAGAGGTAATGCTGATTTTAAAGTGACTACCGGCTGGCTTATGCATTTCAAATCTAGGCATGGAATCAGGGAATTGGACATCCGGAGTAAAAAACTGTTGGCTGATACTGAAGCAGCTGAACATTTGAGTGTCTTTTAAAAATATGATTGATAAGGAGGGCTACAAAAATCCAATGTCTACAATGCAGATGAAACTGAAACTGGTTTGTACTGGAAGAAAATGCCAACAAAAACCCTAGTTTTTAAGAATGAAATGTCAGCACTGGTTTTAAGGCAAGCAAATCACTGTTATGTTATGCAGAAATGTTACTGTAATGCACAAGCTACCTTTGCTAATCATAGGGAAGTCTAAAAATCTGTGGTGCTTTAAGGGAAAAAAAAAATTGCTGGTAACCTACAAGAATCAAAAGAATTCGTGGATGATACAAGCATTTTTAAAGAATGGTATTTATCCCTAAACAAGTCAAAAAACATCAGCTTACAACCAGGAATTCTGGAAATGTTTTGTGTTGATTGATAATGCCCCAAGTCATCTCTCAAACATTTCACAGGAAAAAGAAAACAGAAAGTTTAAAGTTATTTTCTTTCCTCCCAAAGTTACTTCACTCCTCCGACCAATGGACCAGGGGATCATTGAAAGCTTCAAACGTGATTACAGAAATGCATTACTTCATATGGTAATGATTGAGGGAGAATATGAAAAAACAATTCAACAAGTGTACACTGAAATTAACCTAAAGTATGCTCTGGCAGCAGAAGCTTGGGCTACTGTCAAGGACACTACACTAGCAACAGCTTGGAATAAGTTCCTACCATCAGATGAGTCTATCATTGCACCTGACAAGCCACCAAACAGGCAATTTGTATCACAACTGTTTGGGCTGATTAATTAATTAAAGAATGTTCTGGATTTGAAGAATGTGGCAAGGAAAAACATTCAAGACTGTCTTGAATATGATGTTGATAACCCTGGCTATATAGTATTGTCAGATGATGAAATCATTGCCAGTGTCATCAACGACCAAGACCTTTGCGATGATGAGGAAGAGCCTAGCATCGATGACCATGCTGAAAAAGGACCATCCAGTGACAAAGCTTTTCATTGCCTTGAGACAGAAGTGGTTAATATATTTTTTGATTTTTTTCATAAATGATCAGTTATCCAAACAACCCAGTCTTGAATTGTTTCAGATAATCGATGCTCTACTGTATCTATATTTTTTATATCCCTGTTTTTTTACAGTCTTGACCTTGGCCTTCACTTCCATTAGCTATTGATGCACTGTTTTGTCTTCTAAATTTTTATTTTGCATAAAACAAGATGCTATCTTATAAAAAAAGACTTGAGAAAGTAGTCTTTGATATGGAAGGACAAGAAAAATATTTATAATGATCAAGACTAATAAATATGTATAAAAATGTTATTAAAGTATTTTTGCAATATTTTAAATAAATTTTTTAAAATATTTAGTTAAAACTCTGGAGTCATTCTCATACATTTAGAATAAAATTGTTGATCATGCAAATTTATTTTGTCAATTAAATATTTATTGCATTTTAATCTTGGGAAATTTTATGTATAGTACCCGAAAGTAAATTTTAGTTTTTCAGTCATTTTCAATGATACAATTAAATGTAATAAATAAAGATAAGTAATCACATCATGTTATCCATATTGGTTTTTAATTACTTTTTGGCCTGTTAGAGTGTGTCTTGATTTTGGTCCGTGGAATCCTAAGACAGAATACAGAAAACTGGAACTAGACAGAATGTTAAATAGCTGGTGATTTCTGTTTTCTTCTGAAGATTTTACACCTGTGGAGTCACTGCTTTGGCTTTAAGAACAGAAAAATTTGTGAAAACAGTAGAAAAATTTAAGTTTCTCAATGCATTTAATCTCAGGACGAATACCAAATATTAAAATAATTCATAAATGATTAATTAATAATATAATTAGTTAAAACATTTCTATAACTGAAAGCTAATAGCTGTCAAGACTTATAGTTTGGACAAAATTTCATTTCATAACTGATTGGTTATAGCAATTGGTGTGTGTGTTTATATTATCATTTATAGCAGTTAAAATTTATTTGTGTGTGTGTGTGTACGTGTACATAATACATACACACACACAATTATACATAAACACACAAACAATTAAACACCTTCAATTTTAATTCTTTTAGTATAGTGTTTATTTGATGTAAATTGACATATAAAACATATTTCAGAAGATAAAATTTTTTATAGTTAAATTTTGAAATTCCAATTTAAATTAAAAAACAAAAATGTTTGTTTATAATTTTTTCATATTTTGAAATTTAACAAGTTAATATTTAAAGTGAGTAGTTTTATACTCTGAACTGTGGTTAATTTCTTACCTTTAAGATTAAATATTTATTAATTTTTAATAGGCTTTAGCATGGTGCCCGTGGCAACCAAAAATATTAGCTAGTGGTGGAGGAACAGCTGATCGAACAATTAAAATTTGGAATTGTAATTTAGGAACTTGTTTGAATTCAGTCGACACCAAATCTCAGGTATGGATATTTATTCTTGCTTGATATTAAGTTTTAATTGATATAAATTTATTAATATAGCATATTTTTAATTAAATAATTAAGGTTTGTGGACTTTTATGGTCTAAAGATTATAAAGAATTAATATCGGCACATGGATTTGCAAATTATGAGTTAATTATTTGGAAATATCCAACAATGACAAGAGTTGCAGAACTTACAGGTTAGTTAGTTCTCATTTATAATATGTTATTTTTTTTAATTATTGGAGGGTTAATTAACTGTGATATATATATGAACCAAAATTCTTGTCCAGATGCAATCATTCAGTTATTTCTGTATCTTTTCAATCTATTGTTAAATTATATTGCTAATTTTATTGCTAGTATACTTTTCTAGATTAAACTCCTGTAGTCTGTTAATATTTTTATCAAGTTTAGATCCCTACTTAGCTTTTTTTTTTTAACTTCTGCTTTATCAGTTTCTTTGAATTTGTTTATACTCTCTATCATTAGAGATCAGATTTCATTTTGTAACTGTTATTTGTCAGTTTTTCTAGTAGTACTCAAGAAGTTAATGATATGAGCCGTTGATTTTGAAAGTGGGGCAAGTTTATTTTATGTTATTGCTAGATATATAATGGTTTGCATTTGAATGGGTTTAAAAATATTTGTAAGCAGTAATAGACTTATTTTATATTTTTTGTGGTTTTATTTCATGTAAGTTTAATATGCAATAATGGTCATTCATGTTAGGTGAAAAAATCATGGTTTTGGTATGTGCCAATGGACTCGCCTCACTTTCAAAAGCAATGATTTGTTGAAAATGTTGATTTTCCTTGAATGGAATATAATTATAACAACAAAAAATTGAATATTTTATTTAAAAATTATGACATGGTTTTGGATTATCAAAAAAATTTTATTTATTTACTTATTTATTTTATTTCAACATTTCAAACTTCTTTTGAAAAGCTGAAATACAACAAAAACTAAATTTAATTTTATAGGAAAAAGTGGAGAAAATATTCAGTAAGAAGTTGCATGCATATAATTAAATTTTAGTTTAGGTGATGCAATTTTTAAAGTACAGTTGACCCCCTATAACACAGGTTCCTATAGTTCGGAATACTATATCATGGCGAAAAAATTGCAACAGTATTCGTACAAACATGCTAAAAAACTCCTATAATTCAGTAAAATGTCATCGCCGACTCGTGTTGCGACAGGATTGCACAAACCGTTGAGTTTAAACGAGCAGCAGACCTACCAAAAACCATTTATTATTTAACATCCATAAAAATTATATTTATATTAATGATGTCTCTAAAGTTCAGCGAATTTTACGCAAAAAAAATTAATTTATCAGGAAGCAAGCAAGCGCCATTTGATGACAAGCTCCACGACAAAAACAAGCTTAAGCAACGGCGTAGTCGAACGGTGCACACTCGGTAAGTAATCCTACATTTTTTGTTTATAGCATAGTTTATATGGATTATTCCCAAAAAATTATA